ATGTAAAAGATGTCACATGCCTTTGCTGTGCTGATGGGGCTTCTTCATGACTACATCAATTATGCTAAAGAGATCATGAAAATTGCCAGCGATGCCTGATCTGTATTCATGGACTATGAAACAAACTGTAAGTGTATAATTTGTAAAAACAAAATGTTAAAAGCTTGTCCTGTGTTGTTGTTTAGTGGAAATGGAGTTTACACTATATGAATAAATCTTAAATTATATCATAGCGAACATGTCTGTTCAGATGAAAATACTGGTCTCCCAGACTTGCAATGGAGGACAAAAATTAAAATATTAATAAATATATTTATTTTTCCAAAAATTAGCAGAGTTTGTAGGGTTTTTGAACAACACGGGGCAGAATAAATTAAGACCATTTTCATTTTTTGGTGAACTAACCCTTTAAAGAGCAGCCCTCCACGTCCATGAAAATTTGTGAGGTATGTGAATGTCATGTCTGTTTTAATGTTTCAGTAAAGTAGATGCTAAAGAGATCATGAAAATTGGCAGCGATGCCTGATCTGTATTCATGGACTATGAAACAAACTGTAAGTGTATAATTTGTAAAAAAACAATGTTAAAATCTTGTTCTGTGTTGTTGTTTAGTAGAAATGGGGTTTGCACTTTGTCATTCATACACATGCTCACATTCTTTCACACATATGTTTCTGATAAATGTTATAATATCAGTGTTAATGTTGTGGTTTAATTAACTGTCATGCCAGAATAGTTTGTAAAGAACTTAACTATTAACTAATTGTACAACTATTGTATAATAGTGTTTTTGTATAATATTTTTATACAATATATAAAATTTACCAAAAAAGTCAAATTTGATCTTAAAAGTTATATTCAACAAATGTTCAATGCTTCATTTATAAACTCTGTAGCTGTTAATGCCATACTTTTTTGCATTTCTTACATGCATGTTACTTTTGACTGTTTTCTCTTGTTTTAAATAAATATTTACCTTTTGATAGTCATTCTGTGTGTGTAAAAGTGATTTTAAAATGAACAAGATTTGTAGGTTTCATGTCTAGCTCGATTTGGGTTCATTTTAGCCAAGCAATGTAGTAATTTTAAACCATAAAAAAGCAACCCAGCATGCTGGGTCAAACATTATAACCCAACTTGTTGGCTTAAAACAACCCAGTGCTGGTTCGTCCCTTTTTGACCCAGCGCTGGGTTGCCAAAATAACCCAAATTGGGTTGTTTTTAACCCAGCAGTTTTTAGAGTGTAATGAAATATAACTCAACCAATACCAAAAGTAAATAGTATTAGTACTAAAAAGGTGCATTCACAAGCAGATCTACATCCAAATCCATATTAATTCTGTTCAGTACTTAACTATAATATAAAGTGTTATCAGTTCATTTTGTTTTAATCTCCCTGTCACTTTTTGGTCAATCGCATTGTGCATATTAAATTATTAGATTATATGAAAGGGCTGCAGCACCCCCCCAAAAAGACCCAAAAGGCTCAATCCAGCATTTGGGTTAAAAAAATAACTTAAACATTACTGTATATTTGTACTTTCTGACTAATCTGTGCTTCAGTGTCTGTAATTCCCTCTGTTTGTCAATCTGCTATAGTTGGTCACATTCCTGAACTAGATGGAAAAAAGGTTTATGAGATTGTTCGACCAATCAGATTACATGCACTACAAAAAAGAGATTTAAAGGTGAGTTCTCATCTACCCACCTCTACATTTCATTTGTAAATATTTTAATTAAACTAAATAATTTCTTTCCTTGCAGTCAAGACCTGACACAGTGAAATACGCTATGACACTAGGCGGTAGAGACATTGAAATGCATCTCCAGAAAAATAAGTAAGCTTGTCTCTCAGTTACTCCTTTGTCATCATTTGTGTGTGTGTGTATCTTGTGATATTTAAAATCTGCACGTTGCAATTTACAAAAGTTCCTCATTGCCATAGACAAACATCTGTGCGTATTAAAACTGCAGCTCCCACATTACACATTTTGATTTGTCAATTTTTTTGTGACTGATCTGAGAAATGTGTGTTGGTCAACAGTGGCATACTGACTAAAGACTATAGTGAAACTTACTACACTAAAGATGGGATGCTTGTCACAACCACACCTGAGGATCTGGTATGCTACAACTAGTATTACTAACATATGACATATATAACATACTGTTACAAGCTACAAGTTAATCAACTATAAATCATTATTGTGATATGATTCATAAAGTGAGAAATGTATTTAATACCCTTTTCTTCCACAGGATTTATGCTATTATCATGGGAAAATAGTAAATGACAGTAAGTCGTCGGTTAGCATGAGCACCTGCGATGGATTACGGTAGGGAAACACAATTTTAAAAGAGGTTTCTTTTGAACTTTTACAATGACATATTAAGTTGCTTTAACAAAAGTACACATAACATCTTTAAACAGTTTGTTTAAAATATTTAAAGTTATAAAAAATTTTCACCACAATCTCTACTGCTGTTTTTACACTAACTATTGCTACATACTGCAATGCCAGTTTGTTGCCTAAAGTGTGTTCTACGCTTTTCTGCAATTAAAGGAAGTTACAGTGTGACATGTGTTTTCTACTTAGATAAATGAGACGATAAATGGGCCCGAGCGTGGCACAGAGCGCTCACACTAGTCAAACGAACCGGGCTTTGGGGGTCAAACGCGCTCGGGCACGGTTCAAAATGCCTAGTGTGATGCCAATTGCCTTTATTTCTCTGTAAGGGCAGAGAAGACAGGGCAAAAGACCCTACAAATGACATTGTGCCCATTTTGTGAAATGTCTTCACAGAGGCTATTTCCAAACAGAGGAGCAGAGGTTTCTGATTGAGCCGTTGTCTCAGGATGGTGATGGTGACCATGCTGTCTCTAAGTATGAAGATGTAAATGAAGAGACGCCTAGGGTGTGTGGAGTCACCAACACTAGTTGGGACGAGAGTGAGGAAGGCGCTCCTCCACGCATTCTCAAAAGTCGTTCTCATTCCTCAGTAAGATTGTCTATTCATTTACTTTAGCATTACAAAAAGCAGCAAAGCACAATATGGTTAAAGTTTCACAAGAATTAACCACATTCAGGCTGGGTTGTCGTAAAGTTTCATTTGTTGTTCTGCAATGTTAAGGCGACAATCACAATAAATTGCAGAAGTCAAAAGTGCAAAAAAAAAATGTCGCAGATTAACCTAATCCTGTACATGTTGTAAAGTAGGCCAGGGTAGTTCATATTGTTTTCAAAATGATTTCACTGAAGAATTATTCTGTTGTCAGTTCTGTAATTTCAATCTATTTCTTTCCTCTTGATCAGGGGCCAACTTTTTTCCAGCAACAAAAATACATTGAGTTCTTCCTTGTGGCAGACAACAGAGAAGTAAGAACGGGAATCAATGCACAACCCCTTAACTGTCACCGTCCCGCCAACGGGATGCATAAATTTACTTCAATATATTACAATTAAATCCTAATCTAATCATAACAAACTATATATCGCTGGAAAGGTCTAAGACTCCTAAATAGACATTTTACCTCAGTTTGTTGTTAAAAAATTATGTAGGAACAGTAATAGATTAATTTATGACAAGAGTGCACCACAAAATATATAGATCATAACAGGAGTTCTGACCTTTGTCACAAAAATTATTTTTCGTTTCCTTTTTCCCTATAACATGTTTTAGTACTCATCATAAATTATATATCATTTTAAACCATTTTGAAATCGGACATTGCATTACCATGGAAATGGTACTTTACATTTTTTAGCAGTCTCCTCCCCCTTAGTGGGAGGAGTCATATTACAAAATGTATTACAGTCTTTTAGAATCAAAACGTTTTATAATCTTGACAAAATACATATCGTTGGAAAGGTCTTGAGTCACAAGATTCCATATTTGGTGGTTATTTTGTGATAGAAGTAATATTGAGAGAGAAATTTAAACATTTGTGACAGAAAAATTCATCCAAAAAAATTAAATGGAATTTGGGTGTCACCCAGTGGCTATTTTTGGTATAACGCCTAAACAAAATTGCATAGTAATCTCAATTTTTTTTATATCAACTTCAAATTTGGAACACAACTTATTTAGACATATGGCTTTAATTTTATAGCAATTTTGGATTAAAAACTTTGTAAAATAAAATTTTTGTAAAATATTTATTTTATATAAAATATAATAAAAATAGTACAGTACATTTTCTTTACAGTAAATATAAACTTCTTTATGGGGGGGGACAGTTAATAATGCAGCTTAACAGATCTATTTTATAGCAGATCTACATATTTTTGTGATCTCTGTGATTATCAGATGATATCTGACGTTCTAATACAAAAAACCCTCACTTGGTTAGAGCAACATATGTGGGATTTTGTGCTTGTTCAGCATTGCTGTTTTTATAGAATCAAACTGTTCTAAATTTCTCACAGTAAATTTAAAATCACTGATGCTAACAGATTTCAGAATGTGTGTCCAAATACCGTGTGACTAATGAGTGACAAAAAATTCATGATTCATTTTTTTTGTTTCCCCCTCAGTACAAGAAGATGGACAGCAATCTTGAGAAGCTGAGAAAGAGGATATTTGAGATCATCAATTACATAAATAATGTGAGTCAGTGATGACGTATATGCTATTAAAAAATTCCAGCATGCCAACATTTATGAATCATACAGGATATTACAACTAGGACCTGTGATAACAAGGATTCTTGAGTGTGATAATTAATCACATGACTAGATCTATGCCATCTACAGATCTTCTGATGAGTACTGGTTTAGTACTTTAGTTAAAACTATTGATGGTGACCAAATATGTTTTTGTCACACTAGTAAAAAACGTATATACAGTGGAGTCCAAAAAAACCCCCTCTGATTTAAACTCCATATTAAAGCTTGATTCAAAAGTGATTTAAAACAAAGGAACATAATGGCATAAAATTAGTAAAAAACATTTAAGATTCTGCATTTCTATAGGTTCTAGATTTATCAAATTTGTGACAAAGCCAATGACATCCTTGCTTCCACTGAAGCACACAAGATGCAAATCCTGCTGAATAACATGGCTCAAATTTTTCTACAAGCTCGCGAGTCAGTTTCATCCAAAAGGAGGGCATACAAAATACCAATTGTAACAACCTGTGATGGATATAGCGTAGGTCCCTCTATTGTATGTCAATTGAAAAAAAGTGTACTAAATGCATAGATGTACTAATTCTGTATTTGAGGAAATTAAAAAATTGTTGATTTTTTTACTTAATTTTTAATATAATTTGTCATTTAAAAAGGTATTCAATCAGAAAAAAAGTTGTTAATGGTTTCAGACTTTTGGACCCACTGTACACAATATACGAAGAGTTCATTTGCAAAAACCGATAACTCTATTTTTAGTTTTTTTTCAGAAATCACGTTTTTTTTAAAATTGTGCATTCCAAGTAATATCAATTAAACTGCAGTTGGGTTGTTTTGATTAAGTAATAATAACTTAAACAAATACAGGTAATTTACAAAATTAAAGCTGCAGTCCGTAACTTTTTTTGGTTAAAAATGATCCGAAATCAATATTTGAGCAAGTACATAACCAGCCAGTGTTCAAAACTATCACCTTACTTTAGTCCGATTCACAACTGTTAGCTTATAATAATGTTTTCTAATTTGAGTGGTACGGGTAGGTTTTAGCGGGAAATTCGAGCACGCTGCCGCGTCATTACGTCACGTCTGTAAACATAAAGAAGTTGTCCCGGCTACTAG